CGCGCGCTCAGTCTCATTGCTTTGGCTACCTTAGGGCTGCGTTCCCTGCACCCACCTGGTAGACAATCTGTCAGTGTGCAGACGCAGAAGAAAGCAGCAGCTCTCTCGGAGGGTGTGTTTGCCTGTGCTGTGTGGGCCGGGATGGGAAGGGAGGGGGAGAGGCACGAGAGGCGGTTGTACAGGCGACGGAGGAAGTGTGAGGAGCTGGACTGCAGCGGCTCTGCATATATTTAGAGGCTTGCCACACAGGCTGTCGAAACAGCTGTCAGAAAAAAATAGGAAGTCTGGGGTCGACAGTGTACCCCCCCTTCGCCACACAGGCTGTCGAGGGGTAATGTTTTTGGTCATGGCCAAATGGACTCCGCCTTTCAACACGACACGGCCGTCACGGAACAGTCCCTGACATTGCAAATTCGAATTCGAACGCAATTCTTGAAAGGCAGGTGGGGCACTTTCGAATTTCCGTCTCCTGCAGGCGGGGGCTAGGTCCCACTTGCACGAATTAAGAAACAGTGACCGTAGATAGCAAAGATCAACGGCCGAAATCTCCTGATTTGCGCAAATGGGACCTTGCCCCGGGAGGAAACGAATGGGGGAGGGTGGCTGTCGAGCGTACCATTCTGACACCTGTTGAATTTTTTTTGAGCCGCAATTCTTCGAAAGTCTGTGTGGCCATGCAAAATTGTCGAAAACCTGGTTTTCGGCAACCTGTGTGGCGAGCTTCTTAGATTGGAGCTCCCGTATATGATGAGCTGGACTGCACCGGCTTCGCATATATTTAAATTGGAGCTCATCATAGATTGAAGCTCATCATAGATTGGAGCTCCGTACATGATGAGCTGGACTGCACCGGCTGCGTGTGTGATGGATGCGGAGCTGGACTGCTCCGGTTGCGTGTGTGGTGGATGGGGATTTTGACTGCACCGGCTGCGTGTGTGTGGGTGGGGAGGGGCTACAATGAGGGCAGGATAGGAGAGGCACGATGAGAGAGACAGAGGAGGTGCAAGAAAAACGCGGGTCCGTACTGTGTTTTCGCGGGCGGGAGGTGTTCCGTACTGTATTTTGGCAGGAACCTCTGTCTTATGTCGTCGTTGACGTGCTTACTCACAAGACCGCTAAGCAGCCAGACTACTCCCCCTCTCGCGGGCACTCGTCCGCCGCTTGCGTTTGGTGACCTGCATTACACTTCCAACCGCGTAGATCCCTCCCTTGCCATCTCCCACCTGTCACTCACTACCGGGACCTACTCCCTGAAGGTATACTTGAGGAAGACGACCGGATCAGGAAGTCAGTCATTCAGTCCCCTCTTCTCTCTCTCTCTCTCTCTCTCTCTCTCTCTCTCTCTCTCTCTCTCTCTCTCTCTCTCTCTCTGCGGGACTCTGTTTCAAAACTGGCACGCAGTGTGTGTGACCATGCTTCTCCTTCGTTTCCTTGCCCTCACGACAGTTGTATCTGCGTGTGAGTTATGACTAAAGCGGTCGAAGCAGAGGATCGTCGGCGGAAAGAAGGGGGCGGAGATGTGAACTTCAACGTCACTGGAGTGTCGGCGCTACTCTCACTTTCGTTTCGATTGCTGCGTGCGGGTTTCTTTTGGAGAGTCCGAGCGCCCTTGAACGAATGATCGGTCATGGCACTGGCCTCCCTGTTCCATGCCAGCAGTCTCAACTCCGGCTGTAGGCTGTTGTTGTCAGTCTGTTCAATCGATGACTGCTCACGTTATGTCCTCGAGGTGTTCGTTCGACTTGGGAGCGTGATGAGGATGAGCTGAGCAAGCCTCCGTCTTGGACAGAAAAGCGCGTCACAGGTGAAAGAAATCGTCTTCTGAAGTGGTCTCTGTATTCTTAACTCGACATTTGTATAGCACGTATCTAGCACGGTCTTCCGTAGATATCCGCTTGCATATATCTGGTTAATCCTTGTCCAGCGGTCGCTAATGCCTGCCACGAGCTAATCCTCTCTTTCTTCCTCTCTCTGAAGGTCCCTGCTTCTGAGACGGGAACAGCGAAATGTGCACGTGCTAGTCAGAGAGACAGAGAGAGAGAGAGAGAGAGAGAGAGAGAGAGAGAGAGAGAGAGAGAGAGAGAGAGAGAGAGAGAGAGAGAGAGAGAGAGAGAGGTGGTAGATGTGCGCCTGAGGGTCCCTGCTTCTGAGAGAGAGAAAAACGGCGACTAGGCTATAAGTATGGAGGCGATACGTGGGCAAGTTGGTGATGTGCTCCTGAGGGTCCCTGCTTCTGGGAGAGAAGAATGGCGGCTAGGCGGTGAGTATGTAGTCAATGCGTGGGCAAGTGGGTGCAGAGGGGCATGCCCGGGGACTAGATGATCGATCGATTGGGGCATATTTCTGCTTCCACTGTTATATTGACATTATTTCTCTCTCTTTCTGGCGCTCTCCCGCGCCCTCGCGCTCTCTCGTGCTCCCTTGCGCTCTCTCGCGCTCTCTCGCGGTCTCCGCGGCTCTCCGCGGTTCTCGCCCACTCGCGCTCTCTTCTGTTCGAGGACCACGATTGGTGACTTTCTCTGATCCGCTTGCTCCCTTTTCCTCCCGCCACTGCTGCAGTTGCTCGCAGTAACGTCTGAAGATTCTCGGACTGCACTCGAAAGGGAAAGAGGCACTCCAGATTTTAGAAAGTCGAAACTCTAGTCATTTACCTCCATATCTGGTTCCCCTTGCTCTTCTTGTGTATTTTCTTCCTTATTCTTGTGATTCTCGAGGGTGGTCCCATGAAGATTGGGCGAACTCCTTTTGACGAAGATGCTGGCTCGACAACCAGGTGAGCGAGCGGGCTAGCTCAACGTCTGTTGAGTTACTTCTTCCTGCTCCAGCTGCTGCGACCCGACAGAGAGAGCTTGTGCGAACCTTGCAATCAGATCGAAACACGGCGATAGTCGGTTGGTCAATCAATCTCTGCGGCGATAGTTGACGATCAATCTCTGTAATTCAGCGCGCAGCGCCCTTATTTTGTAAGTTATTACTGTGCACGACGAGAGAGAGAGAGAGAGAGAGAGAGAGAGAGAGAGAGAGAGAGAGAGAGAGAGAGAGAGAGAGAGAGAGAGAGAGGTTCGTCTGGAGTAGAGGAAAATCGAAATGCAGGTGTCTGTGCGAAGAACTGAGTAGTGGGCGATGGTGGGTGGTGCTACCTGTTCTTCTGCCCGTGATTGATGTCAGTTGTACTCTCGGAAAGACTAGTCAGGCTGTATATTTCGTTCCTTCATAATGTCTGTTGTATTGTATTCCTATCGGCCGCCGCAAGTATCTGATGTCCATGGATTAGATTATTAGTGCTCTCTGGGGTTCATGGTGCTTTGTAGAACCGCCAAATCGGTTGTCCTGGTGTTACTGTTAGAGAGGCGCAGTGTAACCTGAAGAAGACTTTATCGGGTGTTCATGTCGCGTTTGAAGACTCTTAGCAGCGGACTCTTTATAATTTACGGCGAGAAAGGTTTTGTTGTCTCTCCGGAGCGTCGACTGGCATGAAGTTCGGGGTCACGGCGATGAAGCAATGGTTACTCCGCTGATCAACAGAAGAGTGTATAGATTGGGTGAGGGGAGAATGGAAAGAGCACAGGAAAGGAAAGAGAGTGAAAATGACCAGGCAAAAGATGTGCGAAGCGACGGAGTTTTTCTGCTCGTGCTCTGAAGTATCTGTCAAGGTTTCTGTTTTAGATTCTCTGTACCTGGTCAGGTTATGGTTATTATTCGGTGTCGGACGTCCTCGTCAGTTGTTTTTTTCTGTGGGCAACGAGCTGCTGTAGATGTAACAGGTCTCTCATAGTGACCTCCTCTTCTCCTCCTCTACGCGTCCTGTTCCCTCTTGTGCATTTCTGTCATTGCTTGTCGTTTTGATTTTTTTGTAATAATTTCGTTTAATCTTCAGCGTTACCATCATTATCGTCATCATCATCATCATCATCATCGTATTCTTGTTTCCCTTCTCTTTCTCTGGGCTCTTTTTGGTTTTCGTTTTTTTTATTTGGTTGCTTTTCCCTCTCTGTGCTCTTTATTATTTCCCCCCCTTTTTTTTTTTTTTTTTGCCTCTCTCGGTGTGTGCTCGTTCTTGTTCAGCTGTCTGTCGTTTCCTTTTCCCACTTTCACTTTTTACTCCGTCCCCTGCCCCCTTCCCTTCTCTGCTTCCCTTCTCTGGGTGTTGGCACGGCCGTGGCGTAGTCGCTCCTCTAGAAGTCTTTGTTTTTTGCGTTCTTTCCGCCAGTTTTGGCGTCTTGATCGGGAAGAGGGTCAATTTCTCTCGGCGGAACGACCTGCAGCAAGGATGCAGGCAGCCCCGCCTGCTGTCTGGTGGGAGGAGTCAGAGTCACAGAAGTGGCAGGAAGGTTGCAAGGCAGAGAGGGAGGCGCGGTGGTACCCGGGACAGGACTGGGAAGATACAGCAATCGCTTACACAGAGGCATGGAGGGAGAAGCCGCCCAATGCCAAGTCGGATTTGCACTCGTCCCAATGGGGGGGAGAACGGAAAAGTGACCAGGTGTGGTGGCAATCCGATGGGCAGTCCGAGTGGGAAGAGGACTGGGATTCGGATCGCCATCAGGAGGACGACGGGGAGGAAGGGGAGGAGGAAGAAGGAGATGAAGACGAGGATGATGATGAAGAAGAAGAAGAAGAAGAAGAAGAAGAAGAAGAAGAAGAAGAAAAGGATGATGCTGTGGCGGACGTCCATGATGACGATGACGAGGATGTGGATGCAATTGATGAGAGGGTCTCCTCTCTCGCGAGCTCCATGTACGGCAACGGAGATTGCGACGAAGTGTATGATGGGTGTCTTGGTAACGACGCCCTGGAGAACCGGATTTTCCCGCCGAGGATTGACCATCTTAGGATTGAGAAAGGAGAGAGAGAGGTAGTGACGATGGGAGGGAAAGTAAATGGGCGCGATGGTGGGTGGATTGGGGGGGGGGGATATGAATCTGCGTGCCACGTCGTCGGCGGCGGTGGGTATTGCGGAAGAGCACATGAGTGCCGCTCTTTGAGTTCTAAGGAGGATGATAGGTTGTTGAGTTATGGGAGTGTTTTCTTGCGTCAACGAGATGTCAATCTTCTTGCTGAACCCAATTGGATCAACGATAAAATAATTCAGTTTTACTTCGCTTATTTATCCTCGGAGAAAGCTCGTAATTGGAGAGTTCTCCTCATGGATCCGTCGGCGTCTTTCTGGTTGTCCCATTGCCCCGATCGTGGGGACGTGTCGAAGGTCGTCGATCAGTTCGAGTTCAACAGGAGGGTTGTTGTTATGTTTCCTGTAAACAATTACGATTATGTGTTCGATAGCGTTTGGGAAGGCGTAGGAGGAGGGGGGAGTCATTGGAGTCTGTTGGTCTATGTGAGGGACGAAAATCAGTTTCATCACTTTGACTCCAATGGCGGTGTGAATTATCGCCACGCCTTGCATCTTGCGAATGCCACGTGGCGCTTTCTAGGAGCGCCGTGCAGGCCGCCGATCATACAAAAGTCAACGCCTCAGCAAACCAATGGCCACGATTGTGGGATGTATGTGATCGCCATTGCCGACGTGCTGTGTGCGCTCTATCTCAGTTTACACCTCCATTCATTGGGGAGGAGACTGTCGCCGTCGAGGGTTGCGCAGGAGGTTGACCAGCTGACTGCCACGTGGATCAGACAGATGAGACTGACAGTGCGGGACTTAATCCAGTCACGAACTCTCTGCCATTGAGCTCTTGAGTGCATACACGCTGCTCAGCGTTTGCAGATTTCTGTTTCTGTCACGTTGGTGGCCCGTATAAGGAGGTCGGGGCCACCGCCGCCGCAGTCGCTGCTTAAGTGGAGACGGAGGACTTGAGGTATATATACATACATATATGATATCTATTTGTGACGACATATATAACTGTATCTCTAGTCCGCTGGTTGTGATATTTTGGTGCACATTGGGGACTGCGCACCGGCGGATGCGGTTCTGCTGTGCGACTGCGCGACTATGCGACTGCGACAGTGGGACTGTGCGCTTCTGCGCCCGAATGCGATTGATCGAGTCGTCGGTCTTTACATTGTGGGGGTAGGTAGGTAGTCCAAGTCAACAAGGTGATAGCGATCGCGTGGTGTCGTTGATGAGGCCGAGGACTGGTGATCACGATCGCAGTGTCATCACTCAGATGCAGCGGACGTGGATAATCTGCGGCGAATTGCGGGTTCTGNTGTCATCACTCAGATGCAGCGGACGTGGATAATCTGCGGCGAATTGCGGGTTCTGCTGTGCGACTCCGCGACTGCGACTGTGGGACTGTGCGCTTCTGCGCCCGAATGCGATTGATTGAGTCGTTGGTCTGTACATGGTGGGGGTAGGTAGATGGTCCAAGTCAACAAGGTGATAGCGATCGCGTGGTGTCGTTAAGCTATGAGGCTGAGGAGCGGTGATCACGATCTCAGTGTCATCACTCAGCTGCAGCGGACGTGGATAATCTGCGGGCGAATTGCATGGTAAGGGGGTGACTCGGAGACCATCCACGCTCTTCTCCTCCGAGGCGCATGTGCCGGCGGGCTATTGGCCCCCTTCTTCCAGGGAGAGGTCTGTCGATGGAGTCAAGATCTCAATGCGATCTATGATGTGTCAGGTAGGGGTGGCGGCGCCAGGTCATCCATGTCGGAGTTCGTGTTGTCAAGTGTTGGAGATTCTTGCGTCTTTTATTGTATACAAAAAAGAAAGGATGCGTGGTTTTGTTGTTCGGATTGCACGCTCCTAGGCAAGGAGAGTGACGACGAATGTGGCTGAGTCAAAAGGGAGAGGATAAAAAGGGGTTGTCCTGGTGGCTGCGGCCTTGCCTAAAGAGAATGCACGTGCAGCATGGCTGTGTTTCATCCAACAGGTGGCTTCGATAGGCTCACAACGATCCAATTGGAGGAGGGTGACGAAGATGTGGGGGGGATAGGGGGAAGAGGAGGAGAAGGGTATCCATAGCCTCCTCAGTGTCCTTTATGGTGGCCATTGTTGTCTCGGAGCATCTCCCCACTGCTCCTTTCCCTGCATTTGGATTGGGCGATTTTGTCGATAGGGCATATGTGCTAGTTGTTTTCTGTTCTTGGTTTTGTCCTCTGTTTGTTCTTTACTCAGAGCAAACGGCTGTGCGTTTGAACAGCGGGGCACACGATCGGATTCATCATTCACACGGCGATGTCCCTGTTGATGTTGCTCTGCATGCCCGTAGGCGTGGTAAACTTGTGCTTTGAGCAACGTAAACAAACGGAAGGCAACCCCCCCTGTCTGTGAGGGGCATACGCAACATATGGACAGAGAGCCGCAGGTGGGGGTTTGTGGGGGAGAGAGAGAGAGAGAGAGAGAGAGAGAGAGAGAGAGAGAGAGAGAGAGAA